CTTCCCTCCTTCCTTCTTTTTTGTCCTTTTTTTTTTCCTTTGTGGCGCTGCATTATTGATTCCAGGGCCTCATACATGCTGGGTAAGTGCTCTACCACCAAGCTGCATCCCTATTTCTACTTAAATTTTTCTAAAGGCAAAATTAAGGGAGAAAACAACAACAACAACAACAACAACCTTTCTTCATAAGAATAAAACCATGCTACTTTTTGCCAATTTTTTTTAAAGAGAGAGAGAGAGTTTTTAATATTTATTTTTTAGTTTTCGGTGGACAAATCTTTATTTTATTTTTATGTGGTGCTGAGGATTGAACCCAGCGCCCCGTGCATGCCATGCGAGCGCGTTACCACTTGAGCCACATTCCCAGTCCCCAAATCAATAGTAATTTCAAATTAAAATTTAAAATCTTTGGGCCTGGATGTAGCTCAGTGACAAAGCTCTTGCCAAGGATGTATAAGGCCCTGGGGTCAATCCCCAGACTACTACTACTACTGCTACTGCTACTACTACTACTAATAATAATAATAAAAATAAATTTGAAACCTACTTTTCATCTGCTTTATAGCTACAAATCATATATCCTGGATAAAATGTTCATCTTATTAATGTCTATAAAGCTATATCTATTACTGAGTAATTGGTCTTGATGTGAAGTTAAGCACCAATTAATATAAACAGAAAAGCAATGTTTTAAGGTAAAAGGAAACTGAYGTGGGGGCTGGAATTGTGGCTCAATTGTGGTAGAGTGCTTATCTAGCATATGCGAGGCCCTGGGTTCAATCCTCAGCACCACATAAAAATAAATAAAATAAAATAAAGGTATGGTTTCCAACTACTTCAAAAAGAAAAAAAAATTTTTTTTTTTTTTTAAAAAGGATGCTGATGTGGTGTCCCTGAATGTCAGTCAAAGAAAGGGGAAATTTGCACGTGGCATTAGCTCATCACCATATCAGTTATCAGTCACTTGCTTAATCTTGCAACAATGGTTTAATAAACCAGTATTTATTTTATGTTGTTAATGGCTTCTTAGAATAAACTTTAAATGTTTGATATTGATTATTTAATCTATAAAAATGGCTTTGATGAGTTTGAGGCAGGAGAATAGAGAGTTCAAAGCCAGCCTCAGCAAAAGCAAGGCGCTAAGCAACTCAGTGAGAAACTGTCTTTTTTTTTTTTTTTGAGAATTTTAATATTTATTTTTTAGTTCTCGGCAGATACAACATCTTTGTATGTGGTGCTGAGGATCAAACCTGGGGCGGCGCGCATGCCAGGTGAGCGCGCTACCACTTGAGCCACATCCCCAGCCCGAGACACTGTCTTTAAATAAAATACAAAACAGGGCTGGGGATGCGGCTCCGTGATAAAGTGCCACAGAGTTCAATCCCTGGTACCAAAAAAAAAAAATTGCTTTGATGATGCATAACTTCTCTTTGCTTCACTTTTTAGTTCATAAAATGGGGATAATCAATGTACTTCAGGGGGTAGTTGTGATGATGAAATGAGGTAAAAACCCCAAAGTCCATGAAAGGATGAAGGAATACACAAAATGTGTTACAGCTGCACAATGGAATGTTAGCCAGTCAAAGAATGAAAGTATTGATTACAACATGATTAACTTTGAAAACATATGCAAAGCAAAAGAAGCCACACAGTTTACGATTTCATTTATATCTGAGGGGCTGGGATTATGGCTCAGCGGTAGAGCATTCGCCTAGCATGTAGAAGGCCCTGGGTTCGATCCTCAGCATCACATAAAAATAAATAAATAAAGTAAAGCTATAAAAAAAAATGTAGATCTAAGACACAGAAAGTAGATTAATGGTTGCCAGGGATTGGGGAGGTAGCAGAATGGAAGGTAACTCTTTAACAGGTACATAGTTTCCTTTTGGATGATGTAAATGTTCTGGAAATAGATTGATGGCTATACATTATTAACTTTGAAAAATAAAATGTGGGGGGCTGGAGTTGTGGCTCAGCGGTAGAGTGCTCGACTAGCACGTGCAAGGCTCTGGGTTCAATCCTCAGCGCCACATAAAAATAAAATAAAGGTATTATGTCCAACTACAACTAAAATAAAATATTATAAATAAATAAATAAAATGTGGGCTAGGGATGTAGGTTCAGTGGTTCAGAGTTTGCCTGAAAAGTTTGCCTGAGGTCCAGGGTTCCATCCCCAGCACCACAAAAAGATTTTAGGAAATAACATGAGAGAGATGGCTGGGGTTGTGGCTCAATGGTAGAGTGTTTGCCTCACATGCATGAGGGACTGGGTTCGATCCTCAGCACCACATAAAAATAAATAAATAAAATAAAGATGTTGTGTCCACCTAAGGCCAAAAAAAAAAAAAAAAGAAAGAAAGAAAGAAAGAAAATAACATGAGAGAAAACCCCAAGATCATGATTGTACTCCAGACCCCTCCCCAACCTTTTTAAGTTCCCTGGTTGGGAAAGAAAACAGGGTGAAAGGGTACAGACTTTAGAATGGAAGCACACCTGGGTTTTCTTTCCTTTTCTAAATGCAAGTCCTTCTAAATTTTGAAAAATTCCTTCAGGCCACACTCGCTTTAATACATATACATATCATCTTCTGCTACTTGATAGCTACAAATTACTTAAATTCCCTGAGTCTGTTTCCCGATTTGTGCAATGAAGATGACAATAACTAGTTTTAGAAGTGGTTGTAAAAATGAATTGACATAATATCTATGTAAAGTATCTGGTATTTAACAAGAGTTTGATGTTTTTGAACACAGAGGAAAGAAGCCCCTCCGAAGACCACTGTAGGATATCAAGACTGATCCTCCCAGGGAGGGAACTGAAGATGCTTCCTTCTTTCCTCATTGGGCCCCCCCCCCCCCCCCCCCCCCCCGGAAGCCTCAGCGGGATGCACAGGTTCTTTAAGAAAATAGCAAGGAGCTGCACTTCTTTGGGGTAGCTCTCCTTTCCCTCCACAGGGATAATCTTACCTGCAGTATTGAAGGGCCCATGCAGGGTCTGCACCAGGGCTTGGATTTCAGGCACGGTGTCCAGCAGGGCTTGTCCAGTAAAGAGGGGATTGATTTTGGCCGCTTTATGACCATGCTCACAATATACCGCCACTAACCTGGCAAGGCCATGATCAACTAAATCAGGGGAGAACAAAACAAACCAGTGAGATGCCCACAAACTACAAAAAAAAAAAAAAAAAAAAAAAAAAAAAAAAAAAAAAGTCTTTCAAAGACTATGTTAAAGTTTTAGACATTTTTAAAAATTTTTAGTTATCAATGGATGAAATTTTTTTTTAATGAATCGAACCCAGTTCCTCACACATGCTAGGCAAATGCTCTACCACTGAGCTATAGCCCCAGTTCCAGCCTTAGACATTTTTGACACTGCTCCTACCCACATCTAACATCATCTTTCAAGATTAAAGATTATCAGAATCCAGGCAAACATACTTATTTCCTTGTTTATCTCAGGATAGACTGCAGGGGGGTGGGGTGGAGTGGTGGTGGTGGTGGTAATAGAACTCTGAAAACACATTTGTGAAAACAACTATACATATATGCATAATTATTAGAAAGGAACACACCAAATTAAAAACAAATATTAAAATGCTGAGATTACAGGGAGTCCTYTTTCTCTCCTAGTTGTTCGAGATATTTTTAGACCTTATTTTTTTAATATTTATTTTTTAGTTTTAAGTGGACACAATATCTTTATTTTATTTTTATGTGGTGCTGATAATCGAACCCAGTGCCTCACGCATGCTAGGCGAGCACGCTACCACTTGAGCCACATCCCCAGCCTTAGACCTTATTTTTTACATTAAAAAAACATAGATAGGTCAAACTATAAAATAGTTCCTTATTTCTTTTCACTTTTCCTTTTTTTTTTTTCATTCTTGTTTTTTTTTAATTTTTAATTTTTTTTCTTTTAAAGGGAGAGTGAGAGAGGGGGGGGACACAGAGAGACAGAGAATTTTAACATTTATTTATTTTTTCTTAGTTCTCGGCGGACACAACATCTTCGTTTGTATGTGGTGCTGAGGATCGAACACGGGCCGCACGCATGCCAGGCGAGCGCGCTACCGCTTGAGCCACATCCCCAGACAGGATTTCACTAAGTTGCTCAGGTTGGCCTCAATTTTGATCCTCCCCCCCACTTCCTGAGTAGCTGGAATTACAAGATTTCACCCCCATGCCTGGCTACATTTTCTTATTTCTTTAAGATCCCAGGTACATGGTTATTTTATAAAACTGTAGATTAGGAAAAGGCCTAAATTATCTTGTCACTCACATAATGGGAAAAAAAATCCTTTCATAAAGCAGGAGATTAGTGATTAGCCTTTTCCTAAATGGGGGTCATCTTTCAATGAATCCAACTCTGAGACTATTTTAAATTGAGGACAAAAACCATTTTTCTTTCTTTTTCTACGTGTAAGTCCTTCGTGTCCACATTCAATCTTCGGTTGACGTATTCTTACCTATACAGAACACAAACCCCTAAAGATCAACAGATCAATGGAAGGCATACTTTTTTTTTTTTTTTTTTACTATTTTATTTTATTTTCAGAACCGCCCCCCCCAAAAAAAAATTGCTACCATCTTTCAAATGTCTATTTTATAAATAAGTACTGACATGGAATGAGTAGAACCATATATGCCCTTGGATTTGGTTTCTATTACTGTCAAAATGTACCTCTTCTCTCATCACAGGTGTAGTGAGGAAAGAACAGGGAAGTATTGAATATGTGTAGGAGATGCTCACACCTATATGCAGTTATGTGGATCTATGTATGTCAACATTCCCAGAGTTAATTCTGAATGACTCCCTTCCTGAATCTTAGTTGTTCAACACGTCCTTCAGTTGGAGGAGATATCCTTATATTTTTCAAATAAGTCCATCTTTGTTTAGAATAGCCAGAGTTGGTTAGTGTAGTTTGTGAACAAAGTGAATTTAGCTGATTATTTTTTTTTAATTATGGTAATATCATCTATCTATATCAGTTTTTCTTTTTCTCTGCTCAAAGCAAACATGGTGTTAGGAGACACCGAATACTGTTCTGTTTCAAGGAAGCAAAATACTCATATTAGCCAGCATGAAGCAGTTCAAACTCAAGGTAGCCAGGCATGGTGGCTACCTGTAATCCCAGCTACTCAGGATGCCAGGTAGGAGGATCAAAATTCCAGGCCACCCTGGATAACTTAGTGAGACCCTCTCTCAAACTAAAAATTTAAAGAAAGAACTGGGGATAGATCTCAGTGGCAGAGGGCTTGTCTACCAAGCATGAGGCCCTGGGTTCAATCCCCAGTACCAATAAATAAATAAATAAATAAATAAGTCAATATACATCTTTTTCAACATCTGCTCATAAACAGCTGCCCCAAAACAATCTAGACCATATCCACAGTTCCATTTCACTTAAGGCAGAATGTGCTTAAAGCAGGTGGAAGTTGAATATCCATAAATATTTTAAAGACTTCCAAGAATGGTAATTTGATAAATGGAGCCTCTTGGAACTCTATTATGGCTGCCTCCAACTTCACCTCAGGAATCACATTAAAAGCCAAACAACTTTGTACCAGAACACTATATTCTGAACAGTAAACCCAGACCAGTTTATATAACACCTTCCAGTCCCACCTCAAAAACAATAGCCTTACAAAGTAAATTTATTTCACCAGATATTTTTCTTACAAAACAAAGAAACTTGAAGTAAAAAGTTTGCTCTGGTTCTTTCAGCTTTTTTAAAAAATTCTTTCTTGGGGCTGGGGATGTGGCTCAGCGGTAGCGCGCTTGCCTGGCATGCGTGTGGCCCAGGTTCGATCCTCAGCACTACATACAAACAAAGATGTTGTGTCCGCCRATAACTAAAAAAAATAAAATAAAATATTAAAATTCTCTCTCTCTCTAAAAAAAAAACTTTCTTAAATATTCTGTAAGATAGATAAGTAAGGGTCATAAATTTTTAGTAAATTATAGTGACCATTTATTAAGTACATATTTTGTGAGTGTCTGTGTGTGTGTGGTGTGCATGTGTGTGGTACTGGGAATTAAATCCAGGGGGGACTCTAACACTTAGTGACATTCCCAGCCCATTTTTTAATTTTTTTAAATTTTGAGACAGAGCCTTCTTATTGCCCAGGCTGGCCTTGAACTTGTGATCCTCCTGTCTCAGCCTCCCAGGTTGCTGAGATTGTAGATGGACAGCAGCCACACCTAGCTGAATACTAACTTGCTATTCACTTGGCTGGATTATTTTTTTTAATACACATTATTTTACCTAATCCTTGTAATGACTCTGAAATAGGTGACCTTATCCTCATAAGGGTAAACAGAGGTCCAAAGAGGCTAAGTGACTTGCAAAAGGTGACACAGGTAATAAAGAAGCTGGAATTTGAACTCTAATGTGTTTGACTTCAGTCCAGAGTTTCATCCATCAAAATACAATAAAAGCTTAAAAGGAAAGTCCTGTTGCTATAGTTAAAGGAATGAGAGAAATAGATATTATTGAGACTTTTTTAAAGTATAAGGGCTGGGCTGGGGATGTGGCTCAAGCGGTAGTGCGCTTGCCTGGCGTGTGTGTGGCCCGGGTTCGATCCTCAGCACCACATACAAACAAAGATGTTGTGTCCTCAGAAAACTAAAAAAATAAATAAATATTAAAAAAATAAATATATAAAGTATAAGGGCTAACATCTTTAGATTTTCTAAGTCTGTATTTATGTTCTTGAATTTTCCTTATTTTTAAAAATTTAGATTTTCTTCAAACTTTCTCCTATGACTCCAATAAAGGTTCCTGCTATTTCCAACGTGGAACATCTCTACAACCTCACTTCAACTATCAATGCTCAAAGCTATAATCACTAAGTAGTTTGGAATCTGATGGCTTCCATCTCCTGATGGTCTATAAATTCTTCCATTAAAAAAAATAATGTAGGTGCCAAATTCACTTTGATGAAATCTGTATCAATGAATCACCACCCCAAACACACCTCTAGTTTAAGTTGAATTTCTGATAAATAAATTCAAGTTTAATGCACAAGACCCTGGGTTCAATCCCACAACAAAAATTTTAAAGACAAATAAATAGTTCAGGTTTACCTGGAAACTTGAGGTTTTTAAAGGGTGAAGTACAAGCTGTTACCAACAGCAAGCTACAAAAACACTCGTCATGGTTCAAACTTTAACTACTGAAACTACTGCCATCCAAAAGTTAACTAAAAGCAAACTCAGTATTTTTAAAAGGAAAAGGCAAATCTTGGTGAATAATGTGGTCATCCTAGATAGGCACTGATGTTAGCCAAGATAAACATGAAGAAAGAAGACCGATGAAGTGCAAAGAAAACTAGGGAAACTCCCTAAGCTTGGCTATCCTCCTCCTACTTCACTGTGTCAGTTTTGATGTGTCCATGTCCAATAGAGTTTGCCCTTTAATTTCCTTTGCCAATACCAAAAAACTGTATACAAGACCCATAATACTAACTCCGACCACTCCTTTCAACCAAGATGGTACCTTTCCTGACAATTAGTGGGCATTATAAAAAACACTACAGCCACTCAAACTGTGTCCTTAACCCATCAGCCTCCACTGCCTCTTTTATGGTCTGGAGGCTGAATCCAGAAGTGCTTTATCACTGAGCTACATCCATAGCCCTTTCTATTTTTTATTTAGAGACAGAATCTCCCTGAGTTGATAAGGCTGGCCTCAAACTTGCTATCCTCCTGCCTCAGCCTCTGAGTCCCTGGGATTATAGGCATATGCCACCCCCCTACCCATTCTCCACCCCAGTGATCAGTCTCCTATCCCAATTAAAAGAATTAAGCATAAGTACATAGTTATACAGACTTTAAGAGAAAAATCCATCAGCAAAGAGCATAATAATAATGTATCACTCAGTATATAAAGAACTTCTCCTATTATGGTTATACATAGAAAATTCAAATGTACTAAACGTCACAAATGAATTGCATATATAGAAGCCCATTTTTCTTTCTTTCTTTTTTGAGTTGCTGATAAACCTTATTTATTTATTTATTTAATTTATAGGTGGTGCTGAAAATCGAATCCAGTGCCTCACACTTGCTAGGCAAGTGCGCTACTGCTGAGCCCCAGTCCCAGCCCCGGCCCCCATTTCTATTTCTTAGTAAGAAATATGAAGTCAAGATGGAACTACTTAATCAGCAAGCAGAGATGGACGGAAATTCAGTTCCAATAACAGAAGGGAAGGGACTCTGAAGTCTCAGGAATTACAGTGCATAGCATGGCAATATTGAAAAACATGGGACTTAGGGAGAGATCTTTTTCAGGCTGGGAGTGTAGCACTTGCCTGGCATGTACAAGGTCACGAGTTCAATCTCCAACATGGGAAAACATTACAAGTAAAAACAGAAGATGTGATTCTGGAGAGGCTTTCTTAGTAGACTCAACCCTTCTTCAGCTGTAGTACCTTCTAATAGCATTCTTTTGTAGACAATGGGAGCAAACTTTTCCTTATAGAAAAATAAAGGGTGCTGACTTAACACCCTACAGCCTATTATTCAGATGGTTACAAGGTAAAATTTAGAGTGCATCACTGAATTTAGAGCATAGAAGTAGAAAACAAATGACTAAACTTTTTAGGCTTAATAATTGTCTAGATGAGATCTTCAACTGTGGCACGTGGCTTCTGGAATGACCAGAAAGAAAGACTGCAGATTTTGGAAGTTTATAAAAAAAAAAAATTGTACTGCCAAAGAAATCCCAACTCTGACCCAAACACATACACACACACACACACACACACACACACACCCCTGCATTCGATGACACTCTAAGGTAACTCTCAGGCTCCCAATTTTATCAAAAACAAAGTCGGCTATGGGCAGCTCTAAAGGAGTGCATAGTCTCCAGAGCCTACTTCAGTTTTAAGCACAGAAGATAATAAGGAAAAAGCCCATGAGGCAAAGCCACGGAATGGACAAAACCAAATAGACTAGTGAACTTAATACATAACCACATAAAGCAGCTCTTATCATTCATTGCCCGATCAACAGGAATTGGTAACTGGTTTGAACCAGAGACTGTGGTAGGTTCCTCATTCTCTTTTAATATGTCTAAGAGGGTGTTGTGTTTTTTTTTGGGGGGGGGCGGGGTAAGGGGGAGATAATAAATGTGTATCTATGGAGTGGGTGGTAGTTCATAAAATTCCAGACCTAATGACCTTGAGCATGATTAAGAGGAGAAAAGAGGGCTGGGGTTGTGGCTCAGTATTAGAGCTCTTGCCTAGCAAGATCCTAGGTTTGATCCTCAGCAACACATAAAAAAAAAAAATAAAGATATTATGTCCACCTATAACTAAAAAATAAATATTAAAAAAAAAGAGGAAAAGGAGATGAATATGTGCATATACAGAAAGAAATGCTTAGAATATTTCAGTGGCCAAAGGAGTGTGGTGTGGTGGCCATTCCTAGCAGTTTTTCAATCTATTTTCTTCTTCATTCAGGGTAATTCTTGGCTGGTATATGGCCGCCCTGAATAAAGATCCTGCTTCACAATATTTTTTGCAGACATGTGTAGATAGCAACTAAGTTCTGGTCAATGGGGTGTTATTGAAGTCGTACATGCAACTATCTTTTTCCCGTTCTCCCTCACAGCCTAGTAGAGAATGATAATCTACAAAAAGAATGCTGACAAAATAACTTTCTAAAACAGAAAGAATAAAGACTGTCATAGACCTACATGCAATGGTTAATTTTGAAAAGTCATTCCATTTTTTAAAATTTTATTTTAAGTATTTTTAAAAAATAAAGAAAATGAAAATAAAGTTATTACCCTTAGCAAAACAGTCTTTAAGCCAAATCTTGTAACGGTGCCAAAAATAATTGTTTCCAGGATTGATTTTAGTCTTCCCTCCCAGTACCACACATCATGATACCCCTGACCTGCAGTTCTAACTCAGTACTGGACTTTCAGATTTCACCAAGCATGTCACAAGAGGGCCAGTTCTCTACTAGCGAGGGAGTGGGAAGCAATTTGGTGATAATGGCGAGGGAGGGGGCTATACATAAAATCAATATTTTTCAAACCACACCAGCAGTCCAAAGCTCTCTAGATGATTCTGATAGTCTTCCAACTGAGAAAAACTGGCTTAGGTTTCTACAAGGAAAGCTTAATTCTCAGCTGCCAAGCTCTTTATAGGAATGAAATAGAAATTGCTGTCATGAAGAAAAATCCTGAAAGAAGATCACAATAGCTATGCGTGGTCCACACTAACATGACTTCAAATGAAAAAGGTATTGTCAAACTTGTCCTGCATATACATCCTCATGACTACAACTATGTTGGCTAAGCATGGTCATAGATCTCCTGCTAGAGAATCACGTAATGTGCATGATAAAAGTATAAATTCCTGGGTTCAGGGTGTAGTTCAGTGGTAGAATACTTGTCTAGCAAGTCTGAGGCTCTCAGTTCAACACCCAGCACCACGAAAAGTAAGAACAACAAAAAAATCATATTCTTGGAACTTTACTTTAGATCACTGAACTGTGGGAGAAGGAAGAAGTGAAGGCTGAAAACTGGCATTTTAAACATTTAAGTCATTTTGAATGCACATTTAAGTTTGAGAACAATTAACATAAAATTATAGGGGGTTAAAGGTGCAGCTCAGTGATAAAGAGGGTCCTGGGTTCAATACCTAACATTGCCAAAAAAAGAAAAAGAGCAAAAATTCTAGACACTCAATTTGCAAAGTGAAATAAAATACCTAACATCTTATCTAAATGAAGAGATTAACAATCTAGGGCTTGCCTTGCATGCTGGAGGCACTGGGTTCAATTCTCAGCACCACATAAAAAAATAAATAAGTAAAACAAAGCTAGAAAGCTCAATTGATATTAAAAAAAAAAAAAAAATCTAGCCAGGCACAGTCCCTGCAATCACAGCTACTGAAGAGGCTGAGGCAGGAGGACCCCAAGTCCAAAGTCTCCAAAATTTAGCAAGACACTGTCTTTAAATAAAAAGGGTTGGGAATGTGTAGCTCAGTGATAAAGTGCTCCTGGATTCAATCTCAAGTACCCCGCCCCACCACCACACACATACAAAAAAGATTAACAATCTTGTTGACCAAAATGCCTTCCCTAAAGAAACCCCACAAACTGGTCAACAAGATTGCACTTAAGAATTGAAGTTTATTTTAAGTGCCCCCTAAGGTAAAAATAAGGTGAAGAGCAAAATACTTAAGTTTCAGTGTGTGATGTAAGATCCAAAGGTCAGGTACTTAGAAGATAAAAGAGATCTTAAACATCAATCTTACATTGGATAAAAAAATGCCAAATGTTTCCTCAAATAATCCATTTGCATTCATCTACTCTGAGGCTGAATACAGATAGAATAACTTTAAAGCATAAACCAAATGCTCAAAATTAGTCTCTTGCATGTAAGCATGGAACAGAGATTCCAAAAACTGATATTCACATCTACTAATCCATTAAAACCACTAATGAGGGCTAGGAATGTGACTCAGCGGTAGAGTGCTTGCCTCACATGCCAGAAGTCCTGGTTCTATCCCCAGCACCACCACCCTCTTCCCATCCCACCCCATCCCCCAAAAAAGAAAATAACAAAATCAACGACGTGGTTCTAAGTTCAGCAAAGTTTTGAGCTCTGAAATTAAAGTGAAAGTCCATTTAGATTGGCGACAAATAATAAGTGCTGCTGTCATCTAAAACCACTAATGAATTGCCTTCTCCCAAGTAACATAGACATGTACCCGGTACATCCTCAAATGTACCTTATCCTTGGAGAAAGCCCTGGAAAAGAATCCTTGGGTCAACTCCAGAGTTGGGGCATATTACAAAGTTTCTTTTCCCACAGACCCGCCTACACAATGAGCCAGGGATGGAGAGGATAAGCCCTCCCCAAACCAGGTCCGACCTTGGAAGATGGGGAGCGTGGAATCAACACTGAGACACTGACTTTAAGGACCCACAGCTACAGAGGCTAAACCGGGTGCGGCATGGACTGAGCCCAATAACAACACCCATGCTCGCTTCCTCCTGGGCTGTACATAGGCCGAGAGCCGGTCCCCTGGTCCTCGAAACCCCTTCAAATGCACCCCACCGCAAATCAGGCTGGGAGGCCCCTTGTGTCCCCAGTCCGGGCCCCATCCTCGACCTGGGGGGCGTGCCTGGTTGTCACTGGGCGCCTGGCTCACGATTTTCCTGGGCCAATAGCCATATACACCCCTCTCCGTCTGGTAGCAGCGCCGGATGAAGACTGGGCGAGTCCGGCTGAGGATCCTTCTTGCTGTTGCCACAGTGATCGAAGCCATGCGTCCTCCGGGCTCAGAAACGGCGTTGGGAGGACACCGGGCAATAGCAGTCCAGAAGAGACAGTGGGTCGCTCCGGGGCTAGGGTAGTCCCAGAGCAAGCCACGCGAAAGATTTGAGCCCCGCCCCCAGGACACCGCCCCCACGCCTCATTGGTCAGGGGGCTGGCCCTTTTGAGCCAATCCGGGGCAGCGGCATTAACTGCGCAGCCACGCCCCGAATYGGGGCGGAACTTGGGGTGATCCCCTGGTGAAGGCCGCCTGGGTTTAGGATCAGGGCGGGGGAAGTATCCTGCAGAGCTTTACTGACTCGCGGTACAAAACTTGAGGAATCTAAACAACCTGCAGTCTCCCTCCGTAAGCATTCACCCATCACCCCTCTGCTGGAAGCCTCAGAACAGACAGACAGTATGGATTCTCTTACAGAAAGGATTAAACAAGAATGCAAAATGTAAAGGACTTGAGGAACAGGAAGAAGAAATAAACCCTTCCCGCCCCCGCCCCCCCCCAAACATGGAAGAAGAAAAAAATAGGGAAGAGGGAGCCTGTAAGGAAAAGAACAGGAGTAAATAATACTAATTACAAAAAAAATTGACCGACCAGAGTAGTGTAAAAATACTTGAGGTATTTAAGATTTATATTTGGTCTGTCTCTGAGTTTATCAAGATTTTATCTGACTCACCTTTAACTTTGCCAGTTAAAGCAAAGTTAACTGGGGTGGGGAAGCATTCTTCCCCGCTCAGTAACCAGTCAGTCATGTAACTACACTTCACACTCCTAAGAACACTATCCCTACAAACCCTTCCTCACTTATTTATAACAATATTCCTATGAAGTGCTCTGCTAGATTATAAAAATCAATAAGGTACAGTGTTGTGTTCCCAGTCTAATTGCAAAATGAACTCAATGCACACTGTGATAAATGTTATAATGGGCAGACACAGAAGAATGACGTCCAGCATAAGCGGTGGAAGGGACACTAGACAGAATGAGGGACGAGGAGCTCGGTAAATGTGCAAAGAGAAGGGCATCCAAATGAAGCCAGGATTAGACAGGCAGTCGGTATACTTGGGTAAATCGAGTCAGGTCAGATCAAGGAGGCCAATTTGTGTGACTCTGGGAAGTTGGAGACTGCCTCCAGAGATTGAAATGTTAATTCCTTCAGAGCCCTTCCTCCACCCTTATCAAGAACCTGTCCCTGCTCCAACCTGTTGCTAAGGTAACCGGTGGCAGGAATTGCCCCTTCCTACTGGGAGTTACAAAGTTGTTAATTAATGTGTCTTGGGCTGATCCATCCAGTCCTTCCCCCCTCCATCTGCTTTTTACCTTTTGGCCATCCCACTGAGCACCTCCTGGGCCTAGTCACTTAAGCTGGAAGGAGAGAGAAAAGGGAAGAGATCAGGAGAACAATGGAAACCTAATACATATAAAAAAGGCAGAATGCCTCCATTCTTGAGGTACTAGGATATCAGCTATGGCCCCTTTCTCTCTCAGGAGGAGTCTACGTTACCCATTTTTAAATAAACCCTGCTTTATATGCTTGGCTCAGCATGCTTCTCTAATATTATACTTCAACATGTAGAGAAGCTGATACCAGTGGTATCACAACAACACATAAGTCTGAGACTGGCAGTTTCATTTCACATTCCATTTTATTTGCTTGCTCCATTCAACAAAGATGGATTTGGGGCTTAGGCTACAGAAAATAATGTGAAGATTTCAAAATCCAACAAAATAGTTTTTTCCTTTCATTCGTCAGGTTTGAAGTCAGGATCTTGTATTAGTGTGATTATATATAGACAGTTCAATATTGATACATAGAACTAAATTTCAGTGCTGTGTAGTTGAACAATCCCTCCCTTGGGTATCAGTCTATTAGGTCCTAATGTCATCTTTCCCACTGATTGGTCATATTTCCTTGGAAGAGCACATTTCTGTTTTCCTAGTGATCTATGTTTTCTTAAACGTTTCTTCTTAGCATTTAAAACTTCAAGGAATGCTTTTAATGATTCTAAAAACATTTTTTAAAAAATTTTTAGTTGTCAATGGACTTTTAATTTTATTTATTTATATGTAGTGCTGAGAATTGAACCCAGTGCCTCACACATGTTAGACAAGCGTTCTGCCACTGAACCACAATCCCAGCTCTGATTCTAAAAAACTTTAAGTAAGGGATGTGTACTGGATCACTAGATGAGAAGTTAGGAATGTAGGCTTCACTGGGGCCTGAGGGTCTAGCTCAGTAGCAGAGTGGTACTTAGCATTCATGAGGTAGTGGGTTCATGTGATTGGAACGCTACATAGAATTTAAAATGAATGAACCAAAGCTATGCATTTCAATATAAATAGATCCTGAGACTATAAGGTCAAGAGGAAAAATGATATTCAAACAAGATAAAAAAAAATTCACCAAACTAATTGATTTATAAAGATGTATATCTATAGTAAAAGTATAAATATATGGATAGGTAGAACACATACCGATTTCAGTAAATTTGGTTATTACAGGTGGAGAGAAGATGAATGAGATGACAAGGTAGAAGATTCATGATTTCTGCAATGCTTTTAGTTTTTTATAATATTCTGAAACAAACATGGAAAAATGTCATTACTTATTAAGTTGTGGGTAATGGAAACATGGACATTTATTATTTTCTTTGCTTTTCAATTTTCATTATTGAAAAATTAAAACACTTAGAAATTTTTTAAATTATAACTGAAAATTAGAAAAAGAATGCTATCATCTCAGTGAGGTTTATCCTAATATCCTTCTTAAAATTTTGACAAACCTCATCACCCTGTACATTTCTGCTCCCTTTATCACATGTATCATTTTCTAATATGCCTTCCTTTTTTTTTTTTTTTTTTTTTTTGGTCTATTTCCTCTGACCTACATGAAAGCTCCATGAGATCAAAGACCTTTGTAGGTTTTGTTCATTGATGTATCAAGAGCCTAGGATAGTGCCTGGCACAAACAGGGGTACCATAAACATTTGTCCAATGAAGATATGTGTTAGAGCCTGATTACCTATCTTGATACTGTCACTTCCCAGCTGTGGGATCTTGGCAAGATGCCACTTAAACTGGGCCTCAGTGAAAAATCAGCCTCTACCTCAGAACAAAACTTGTCCAAGGAAGGGGGTGTGACCCTTGTCCTCAGAAAGACTCACAGAGTACACCTAGGCACATACCTACCCTGCTGAGTTGTTTATCTACAAATAACAGGAGAAATCTGCTGCACCAGGTGTCCCTGACTCAGTCAGGCTAGGTGGAGACCCGTAGCAACCCCCTAGCAGCCACCAATCAGCATGAGACAGGGAAAATACCTGGGATGCCAGATGACCCTCCCAGTAGTTTATGGTGGTTGATAACATGTTGGGAAACCATGTAGTTCAGCATGTACACCCCTCCTGGTTTAAACCAATTAGTTCAAATGAATCCCCCTCTTGTACTGACCAATCACCCCTACCCAACTTGTTCCCGCCAGTGAATGTGCTAATCATGTTTTAGAGTTGTTTTACGATTTTCCCGCGGGGTGTAATGATTTGCTAAGAGATGCTATGATGTATGTGAAGTCCCTGCCTTCCCCAAAAGAGTGTATAAAACTGCTGCAAACCCTGGGTTCCAAGCCTCTCAGCGTACGCGTGGAAGACCGAGCTAGCTCGCAATAAACACCTCTTTGCTGCTTTCATGGATCTTGGTTGGTCTTCGGGGGATCCCAAATTCGAGCATAACACAGTTTATCCAGCTATAAAATGGGATTATAATATTACCTACCTAATTGGTTACTGAGATTACATGTAAAATAACAGTGCCTGGTACAGTTAAGTACTCAATGCATATAAACTATTATAATAATTATCATCATTATTTCAAGGTCTCATTTCCAGTAGTGGCTTTCAGCATCATTCCTGAGATATAATGATCTTGAACATGCATGAGGCCTGATAACCAATTCAGGTCATAGGGTTGGCAACTAGCAAATGGCTAAATAGAAGACGAGGAACATTACAGATATTGGTTTGTCTCACTAATACAGTGTTCAAATGTGTACTAACCTTATCAGGCTACACATAGACCTATTTAATTCTACATTTTGTAGTACTTGGGATCAAACCCAGGACCTCATGTATGCTAGGTAAGTGCTCTACCAAGATTTATTTTGTTTTTATAGGAAATTTTTTTTTGATGAGGTTCTTTGCTTTATTTTTTAGTGTTGAACATACTAGAATTTTTACTTTTGAAACATTTCTTCAACTAGCAACTATCTAAAAAAATTCTCAAATTACCATAATAGGGTATAGATATGCATTATTGATTGTATATATAGCCCAAAATTTACCTATCACCAAAGCTAATTTTATTTTCTTTCCTTACCCTTTCCTACTTTTATTAGAAATGTTAAGAAGTACAGGGTATAGTGTAATGACAAACTGTTTAATCATAGGAGGGTGAAGATAAATTTTGTTCAAATGAATCCTTAGATTGGATTCCTCCTTAATTCCTTTAAAAGGGGCTACTTACTTTTCTTTCATGTGGCTAATACCAAGGGTCTTCTTTTTGTTCTTATGATTTTCTCCCCTCTATTGTGAAACTGCTTTGTATGAAACTCTGAGGTTCTATTAATTTAGCAGGTATCTACCATCCCAGGGAACAAGGATCTACATGCATGGGTCTCCTAGAGTGGCCACACCTTTGACTGGATTGCTAGCACAGCTTCGATGACACAACTACAATGTGAAATTTTAATAGTTCTTAGTACTTACAAACCAGCAGAGGATAGGTAAAGGTACACAACACAGAGGTCAGGGACAGAGAAGGGGACTCATGAGTCAATGCCTTTATTGGGTCCAGGGTGTTATCCAAATTGGTTTCCAGTGGTGAGCTTTAATTGGTGTGTTGAAAGTAAGCAGGTGATGTTCCAGAAGTGGTCACTTTAAGTTCTCAGGCAACCTCTGAAGGGTTCTTTTAAAGAAAGTGTCAGGAAAAGAGGGATCCTAGACTGCTGGAGGGTAAGATGCCTTTAAATTTCTCTCTGGACAGGAGCTGAATCTATCCTGGTGGGGGGKTTTTGGAAATGGTGTTAAGAGTGACCAAGCATTGTCTCTGGTGTGCAAAAAGTTAAACTTAGGATGCCAAGACAACATGAATTATAAGCATTCACTACAAAAATATATCGTAACGGGGCTGGGGTGTAGCTCAACACTTTCCTAGTATGAACATGAAGGCTCAATCTCCAGCACTTAAATAATAAGTTATGTAATATTACATATACTATTATAATATATAGTATAATAATTACCATTGTATTATTTATCTGTTGCTGAGTAGCAAAATACCCCCTAATTTAGTGCCTTGAAACAACTAATATGCATTATTTCTCAGTTTATGTCCATCAGTAAACTACACAGGTTAGCTCACGGTTTCTGGCTCAGTCTCCCAGGGGGATGGAATCACTACTGAGATTTCAATTCATCTTAAGATTCAATTGGGAGATAATTGGTCTCCACATTCTCTCGGTTGCTGGCAGGTCTGGGTTCCTGGTTGGCTGTTGACCGGAAGCGTCCTTCAGTTCCTTGACAATGTGGGCCACACCAAAGGGCACCCAGCATAGCAGCTTGCTTTCCTCCAAGATTAAGCCATAATCTGATCATTGGTACTAATATCCATCCCATCACCTCTGTGGCATCATAGAGAAGTTAGTACAAAATCCAGCCTTCATTAAAGATGAAAGGACAGGAGGGCATGAACACTAGGAGACAGGGACTGGGTGGCTGCGCCATTGTAAGGGTGCAATGGGCTTATCCTGTTGACTTGCTTTCATGTACTTACTCACATTCACTCTTCTGCCAGTTGCCCCCACACTCTGCTCTGCCCTGTCCTTTTTCTTCCTTTCCTCTACTTCTACTGACTCCCTCATCTGTTGTTTTCTTCTTCTAAATTCTGGTTTGCCATCTGGGCTCATTCTCTCAGAAGATACATGTCATGACTAAGATTCCTCAAATTTAGCCCTCTCACTTGAGCTCTCTGAAATCACTAATTAATTCACTCATACTTTCCTCTTTCTAAATTCCTACAGCACATACAAGGCAATGCCATTCTATTTAACTTTTTTTTTTCCTCTTACCTCTCTTGTCTCCCAAAAAATAAAATCTTCACGAGTAAGGATGTTTTTAACTATGTACAGTTATCTTGGGTGCTCTACAAGAGTACTTCTGATTCTAGCATCCTGGAACTCAAGTGACTTACATCCCCTACTGAACAGGGTGGTAGTGATCACACAGTAGAAACACAACTGTTTTTCTTTATTTAGATTCAATCAATCATAACTTCATCTGATAGGAAGTACCAGGCATTATTTGATTAATAATTATTGAGTACCTACTACATAAAAGCACTATGTTAAGTGCTTCAGGATGCAGCTGCGAAGAAGCCACACAATGTTCCTACCTTCAGGAGCATTCAGTCTCTGTGAGTACACAGAAGTTAAATAATTGCACAATAATGAATTATAATTCTAACAGTGCCATGAAGCTAGGCAAGTGCTCTTGTGAATAAACAGTGCAGGATGAAACCAGATAAACAGGGGAATAGATTACCTAGTCTGGGAGATTATATAAACTGAAATTTTAAAATGAAGGAAGTAGGAATTAGAGAAGCAAAAAGACTTAAGGATGGATACCTCACAGGCAAAATCAAGTTCTAACTAGTTCCTCATGTTCTCCCATTGATTAGTGAAAGAGGAAGTATAAAACTACCACTTTTTAAAAAGCATCTTCTGTCAGTTTTCATTTTGTCTTCTCTAACTTTATCATAGTTACAATAACTATCATGCTAATATATTGTCTTTAAACATTATTGTGGATGTTGTTCCGTTGGAAAATGTCCTTCAGACAAGTGACCCATCCTCTTGCCTCCTTCCTTGCTTTGCTTCTGGAGAGCCTGAATAGAAGCCATTGAATGCAATGGGAACTGTGCATGAGGAATGAACTTGGAAAGCAAAATTCATTTTGGATATTGAGCTACATGTGATGTAGCAGATCCATTAATTGGGTGGTTGAACACACCTCTCTGGAGTTCAGAGGAATGGCAGGGAATAGAGAAGAAAATTTTGACACTTTCAATGTGTAGATGTCATTGAGGTTCTAGATATGAGACTCTTCTTTCATTTGTGCTATTAGAAGTATTGATATCCTACAGCTTAAAATGCTGAACAATTCAAAAGCTTAGAAGCTGGGATAAGGAGTTCCAATAAAGGAGAATAAGAAGTAGCTACAGAATTTTTGAAGAAATGGAGCTTTTGCAGAAAAAATATCCAGGTTCAAATTCTAGTTTTGCCAGTTATGGGATATGTGACCTTGGATCACCTCTTAGTTTTCAGTTGTAAGATGGAAATAATCATGCCTAACTTAGAGAAAGCTAGCATAGGATTGTGGGTAGGTAACTTCTAATCTAAATGACCTGATTTCTTAATTTTGGTTTTGCCACTCTCATTAGCTGGGACTTTGAACACATTTCCCAACTTCTCTACTCATTTTTCTCATCAATAAAATGGGCTTAATAATCATTATCTTCAAAAAAGTTTAATGTAAAGATTAAATAATAATGCACATTAAAAGTATTGTCTTACACATAGTAAATAAACAATGCTAACTATTATTATGGGGATGTTTTGAAATGAAGAGAGAAGGAATGTATAGAACTTGCCACAGAGTACCCAAAAGATAATAGCTATTGTTATTAGCTTACTATTATTGTTATTTTAACTCTTTTTTTAAAAAAAAATATTTATTTTTTAGGCGTAGATGGACACAACACAATGCCTTTATTTTTATGTGGTGCTGAGAATCGAACCGGGGCCTGCCTGTGCTAGGCGAGCGCTCTACCACTGAGCCACAATCCCAGCCCCAGCTTACTATTATTATTAAACTGATAATGATTGTTGAATGTTACAAAGTAACATCTGTGGTGATTGGATAAAAACTAGAAAATATAATTAGAATTCTAATCTCTTTCATAATTAAGGCAATACTTCATAAACTTTATTTGAAGATTGACATATCAAAAGATTCACATTAGTCTAAGGTCCATAAGTAACTACTTTGAGTTTTAGTTAGAAACCTGTTTGCTTGATCTTGTTGCCTATTTTCGTTTACATTATATGTCTTTTTCTCATATAATAGACAATGTGAATAAACTCAGTTTGATGACTTCTGAAAAAAAAAAAGTGACATCTGTTTGGATGAGTCTGTCATAAAATAGGAACCAATGCAATGTTCCTTCCTACAGCCTCCAGGGAAAAGTGAGGCAAGTTTAATATGTTATTCTGTCTGTGGTGTAGTACCTTTCAGAAGAAACATGTTAGAAATGACATCTACTTCTTTCACTTACCTTTGGCAACTGACAAGAGTAAAGCCACTGCAAAAGACTTTGTATTATAACTTTTTTCTTTCACCTCTATTTATCAATATGACATTATATTTCTGAATTATGAAGGCAACCAATTTTGTACATGGATTCTGAAACATTTGGAAACAATGGTAAATGTCTGGAAATCAGAAAGTTTGAAATTCTGAAATGTAACCTCTACTCATTTTTAAAATGAGGCCTCTGCTCACAGAGGGTTTCCAATGACTTGCCCCGTTCTTCCATGTTGCCTGTGCTGTGGCTCTAAGACTCTACAGTAGGTCTTTGCTCCCCAGCTTCACCTTCTTTTCTTTGCATTATCATGGGTGTGGATTTGGCAATACACTGGTCTCACCCAGGCAATCATTCTTTTAATCATTTTTTTCCTTTTGCAATGTTGGGGATTGAAGTGCAGGACCTTCAGCACACTAGGTAAGCACTCTACCATGAAGCTATGCCACCAGCCCCAAGCAAATATTCTCGTTTTATCATATGCATTGGTCTTGGTAGAAGTAGATTATATAATCAGGTCTCTTCTTAGTCCTCATTGTATCCACAGGGATATATATATTATAATTTGTGTGGTACTTGGTCGTATCAGGTGGGGAAAATCCTAGAACAGAGAAGGCAGGAAGTATTACATAAGATCATGAACTTTGGCATCACAGAGACCTGAACTGAGATTCTATTCAGTAGCTGTTTGATCTTGAACACATTATTTAACTATGCTTAGTTTTGTCCCTCTGTAAAAACAGAAATAGCACCAACAATATAATTATTAGGTGGATTAATGCCTGACATACACTAAGATATTTCCATTCAATACTCATTAAAAAGTTGAGTTAGCTTTAAAACAGGTCTGAAATCCTATATTTGGTTTGTTAAGAGTTGAYATATTGCTTGGTAAATATATATGAAACTCCAGGCTACAATTTCCTCTTACACATGTCTGCTTAAGTATCTTTACCAAGAAAGCATTCATTCACTTATTAATCCATCAATATTTTATTAAGTGCCCTTTGGCCCTAGGACACAAAGATCAATGAAATACAAATCATAGCCTGGAGGAGTTTATAGTTTTAAAAAAAAAACTCATTTATAATACAGTTTGTGAGATTTATTTCAGGAATGCAAGCATGGCTGAGTTTTAAGAATTGTACTCATTATATTAATTAAGAAGCTTACAGTTTTATGGGCAAAATATACAAATTGTTCTAATGAAGCATAACAAAAGTTATAATATGGCTGAAGAGTGGCTGTTATGGGGACATCATTTGATATGTGAAATGGTGGTGATAAAAAATGACTTCCTCTAGTAAATAATCCTTAACCTAACTGGTCTGGAAATGGTCATGGGAGAAAGCAAATTCTTGGCAGTCATGATATGCACACATGCAGTCCAGTACATGCAGGCTATCTGTTATGGTTGGAATTTAGACATGCAGGGAAGTAGTAGAGAATGAGACTATGTGTACATAAAAGAGCCCATGGATAAAAACTTTTGTGCTAAGAACTGAGTAGTACCCTGCAAGTCAGTGGCTTCCAAAAGGGCTTGGCAGAAAGGGAAACTCAAGGGCTGGAGCTGTAGCTCAGTGGTGGTTGGATCCTTAGCACCACGTAAAAGTGAAACAAATAAATAAAGGCATGCTGTCCATCTACAACTACAAAAAAAAAAAAAAAAAAAAAAAAAGGAAAAAATGGAAACTCAAGATGATCCAGTTAGGCAAAAGTATTAGAACTTCTGTTTTATTTATTGTTATCTTTTCTATTTTGGGATATTATAAGGTATACATTTGTGTAGTACTATATATACACACATCATTTCTATCTAAACATACCATATTGGTTGGAAGTGCATGCCTTCCTCCCATCCCCCTACAGGGATATGAGAGCAAAGAAGTCTGGAGTCACTGCCATAGAAGAGTTGTTAGCAAGGAAGAGAAACAATCTGATTTGTGTTCCAAACAATACTCTCTAAAGTGAGTAGGAGGCAAGATTAGATGCAGCACGGAGAGAAATCAAGAGATGGTTGGCAATAGCAGGAGTGAGTTGACATGGGTTGAATTAAGGTTGCAGCAGTAGATAAAAAAGAGGACCCAGTCAAGGTCCTTTTAAGACATATTGACAGCATTTGGACAAGGGATGAGGAGTGGGAACTCTGGCTACAATAACTAAAAGAATATAATAAGGGCCCTCCAGTAGATGAATGGATTAAAAAATGTGGTACATATACACAATGGAATATTACTCATCAATAAAAGAGAATAAAATCATGGCATTTGCAGGTAAATGGATGGAGTTTAAGAATATAATGCTAACTGAAGTTAGCCAATCCCCAAAAAACAAATGCCAAATGTTTTCTCTGATAAAAGGAGGCTGATTCATAGTGGGGTAGGGAGGGGGAGCATGGGAGGAATAGACAAACTCTAGATAGGGCAAAAAGGCGGGAAGGGAATGGAGTGGGTATGGGGTTAGAAATGATGGTGGAATGAGATGGACATCATTATCCAAAGTACATGTATGAAGGCATGAATGGTGTGAATATACTTTGTATACAACCAGAGATATGAAAAATTGTGCTCTATATGTGTGATATGAATTGTAACGCATTCTATTGTCACATATAACAAATTAGAATGAAAAAACTAAAAAAATATAAAAAGGTAGGGTGGGGGATGAGTGTTAAGTTCAATTTTGGACATTTTAGGTTTGAAGTATATATTGAATTTTATAATTTTCATTACAGACATACCAGAGCAGGGACTCAGAAACATAGGTGGAAATTCAATAATAAAGACCAATTAGATGGCAGAGTTAGCTTTTCATTACTTACCCATTAACTTCCCCCAAAGAATACTGAGACTAGCTATTCTGTTGGGCAAAAAGTGAAACCAGAAATGAGAACCGATGATTTTATTTTTTTATTTTATTTATTTATTTTTTTAAAGAGGGGGGGGGGAGGGAGAGAAATTTCAATATTTATTTTTCAGTTTTTGGCAGACACAACATTTTTGTTTGTATGTGGTGCTAAGGATTGAACCTGGGCTGCACACATGCCAGGTGAGCACGCTACCGCTTGAGCCACATCCCCAGCCCAAGAACCGATAATTTTATTTGCAAACCTCTGTCAATATTCATTACAATAAATGAGAAACCTCCTCACTTTCTTTTCAGTCTTCATTTTGAAGTTCATTGTCTTGGCATAGATTCCTAATATATGGATTAAAATGTCTCCTAGTTGCCCTACACAACTAAGCAAGACCCTGTCTCTAATGAAGTACAAAAAAAAAAAAAAAAAAAAAAAAAAAAAAAAAAAAAAAAAAAAAGGGGCCCCTGGGTTCAATTCTTGGTATCCCCCCCCCCCAAAAAAAAATCACAACTATTGCAGCTCCTCAGGATCAAGCACATTCTCCTCTCCTAGTGTGTTTGTGTTAATTGACTAAGGTTTAGGGCTACTTCCTATCTTCTTTGCAACTTTCACTACTGTCATCCACTACTCCAATCCACACTCTCACACATTCCTCATTTCCCTTTTCTTCCTTTCACACCCAGTTTAGATTCCATGGTTCTTCGTTCTAATCACTCTCTGGCAAACACCCTCAATTCCCTTACTGCCTTCTCACCCCTCCCCTTTTCCTTAAGTACTGGAGATTGAACCCACAGGCATTCTAGCCCAGTTCTTTATTATTACTACTTATTTCTTATTTTGAGGCAGGGTCTTGCTGAGTTGTAGAGGCTAGCCTCAAATTTACCATCCTCCTGTCTTGGCCTTCAGAGCTGCTGGGGTTACAGACTTGTGTCATATTACTCCTCTCTCATGGAAAAACCATCAAACCCTTTTGGAGAAACAGATTCATGCAAACTGGATGTTTTACTTCAAATTCATGATCACAAAGCTCAAATAGCTTCTCAGCAGAGATCTCACTACTCTTCAAAGTGTCTCATGTTTTCTCCTCTCTTTTCAAACCTTCTCCATTCTCTCCCTCACCTCTTAGCTAATGACTGTGCCTCGAATTTCACCAAAAAATAGGAGTTATCATGAAAAATATCCTTCCTAGACCCCCTCCTAATTTACAAACCAGATTGTATACATGCCCATCACCACTGTCTTAATACAATGTAGAAATGTCCGTGCCTCTACCAAAGGCATTCTTTCTGCTTGTACTTAAAATTCCATACCTTCTTGCCACCACAAAGACTTTGCTACTAGAGTGGTCTTTTTGCTGTCTCCTACATCATCAATATTTCTCTCTCCATTGAATCATTACCATTAGAAAACATTTTCTACATACATCTCATTTAAAAGATAAAAATCAAATACCTAAAAGAAAAAATAAATAAATAAAAGTCCACCCTCACTTCACATTCTTCTACAGTTGTATTTTTCTGCTGTTCTTCTTGATACAATTTCTGAAATATCTTTTTCCATCTCCAACTCAAGACTTCAGCTACTCCAACCTGGCCCTACTTCAATGACCTGCATTTTGTAAGGTCACTATTGGTCCCTATGGTGTTAATTTTCCTTGGCTTCTGAACTATCACACTCTCCTGGTTTTCCTTTTCCTCATTCATTCTCCTGTTTGGAGACCTGACTTCTCTAAATAAAAAGGTTCTCAGGGTTTAGGTCTTGGCCTTTTCCTGATATATTTTCTTTGGTGATCTTACCTATTCTTAATGCTGTAGATGCAAATGGGCCCCAACTTCCTATGCTTTAATATGTGATTTTTTTGACTTTACAATGCCATGAATAGAACTGTCAATAGAAACATGTTTCTAATTTTGATCTTTTCTCTGGGCAGCAAAACCCAATGTATTAGTATTGCTGGGCTGTGGCAGCTCCATTAGTCACTTGGTAAGAAGGGGGAACACTAGTAGTGTACTTTGTTGCTGTGTTAGGATGTTTGGTAAGTTAAATATATTAAATACATTTTTGACTTATATTCCATTTACAATATGTTTATAAGGCTGTACCTCCATCATATGTCAAGGATCATCTGCATTACTTATGTGGATGATGCTCTAATTTTCATCTGTAGGACAAAGCTCCCCCATACTCCAGCTGTCCATTTGATATCTCTAGTTGAGTAACTAAGACCTTCTTGTGAATATGTGTTTTTGCAGCAGAGGGGATCTAACCCAGGCCTTGCAAATTAGCATTCTAGTAGTGACTTACATCTTCAGCTCCCTCTTCCCCTCTTTTGATTCCTCCATTCACATAATTTGTTTTTAACATCTAATGAAAGGCAAAGGTTGACTTGATTTAGGATAAGAATTTACTAACAGTGAAGTAAACCCACTTAAAGTAGTTACAYAACATAAGGAAACTTTGAAGAGAATTTTGGGTGGCTGTCACAGGTTTGGTGTTTTTGAACACTTATCTTAATTATTTATCCATGATATATATTAGTGTTCATCTTTCTCTCTTTTGCGACCCTTGAAATGCCTGATCTAGTGATAACCCCCAGCCCAAGCGCCAACACTCAATTTGAGGGGGTCATTTGCATGCTAAGAACACATGGGACATAAAACAGTAAATAGAGGCAGAAACAAAGGCTGAATAAAAGGGAATCTAGACCTACCTCAAGTATTTGAGGTTGTGTAGCAGCTCATTTTCTGGGCTTGGTTATCCGGTGTGGCGCCCCATGTCAAGCAAGAATCAAGACTAGTTTTGTACCTTTGTTCTTTTGGCTTTGGACCAACCAAAGCCAACCGGTAACTTCATCCAATCAAATTATGCTGACAAATCTTAACAGTGTTTCAGATGCACAATTTCAGCAACCGAACAGGAAGTGTGTAGCGTGGAGCAGCTGATATCCGTCTTAAAAAGTTGACTTTGGTTCGCATTCGGGAAACAAAACTAACCTTATTTTTTTAACGAGTGAGTTCGTTGTAATTTTTAAAATTCGCTTGCTAGAACACAAGGTACTTCAATTTTTTCTTCATTTTATTTTTAGGTAGAACACCCGAAGCTGCTTCTGGAAATTCCCCTACGGGACTTTCGGAGACATTTAGGGCACTCATCAATCTAGACTCATATTTTAGCAATTTCTACCTTCCCCACCTGCCCCAATTTCCTAAATCTTCAAACCTCTCCCCTTGAATTAGTCCAATCAAACTTTCCCTTCTTGAACCTCCACCTTACGGTTCGCATCGGCATACTCCTATGAGAATCACGTGACCAAACTTGTCCTGATCAGCGCTCCGTAATTCTGCTATTCCATAGCTCATCCTGGCCTCCTGTTAGCCTAGCCCCGCCTCATTCTCGCTACTCCCCGCCACCTGCGAAGTGCCTGCGCCTGCGCATCTCCAATTCAGGCGCTTTCCCTTTCCTGGCGACCAATCCACTTCCTGTCTCCGGTCCTTGGAACACTCCTCCCTTCTGCTGGGGCCCTGGCTGGAGGTGCAGATATCGGCTGTCCTATCTATTGCCTGATTGAAAAATTCGCTTCGAGTAGGCGATCTGAACTAATTCTTAAGGGAATAGCGTCTTTTTGAGACCTTGCTCCATATATTCCACACTAGAGCTAAGTTGAGCACCTCAAAAAGCCGGAGAATGAGTGATATGGGCTGTTTTCTATCTGGCAATAACGCAGATAGCTTCTTCCTTTCCACTTCCCTGCGCCCCGCCCCCACTCGCAGCCCGGCCGCGCTGGTGAGTGGCGGGCGGGAGGGCCGGCGGGCGGAGGGAGGAGGGGGAGCGGAGGGAAGGCGGGTCCTCGGCTGCGAGATAGGTGGGGGGAGGGGAGGGGAGAGCCCGAGTGCTGGAGTTGGTGCTGGGAAACCCGGGGCTAATGTTGACATCAGGCTCGAGGTGAGTCCCAGGGACCCTCCTTCCTCTCCGCTCCAACGATCGGGAGGGAGCGGGGCTGGAGGACACCGGCCTGGACTCCTACTTCCTGAGGGACCCAAGAGGCGACTCGGCACCCCAGCTCTCCGGGGGCGGCGAGCTGTGGAGACACCGCGGGTCCGGCGTCGCCTTCCTCAGACCTCTTTCCCCGAGGTTCTCTTCAACGCGGGAGCCCCGCGGCCCCGGCAGGCGTGAGGGGCGATGGAGGAGGTGCCTGTTCCTCACGCCTGGGCCGGGCCTCGGGGCTGGAGGCGGGGAGCTTGCTGTGGCGGGGCGAAGGTGTTTGGGGGCGTGGAGTAGAGCGAGGGGGAGGTTGGGGAGAGCTCTCTGGGAGTCGCGAGGGAAGCGAGGGCGAGGACGTGGGGAGGGTGCGTGTGGGAGGCTGTGGAGAAGCGAGACCTGCCAGGGAGTCTGCGGTAGTGAGGGAGTGTGGGGCGCGAAGCTTGGGTCGGGCGAGGATGGCACACGAAGTGACTGGATCTCGGTAGGAAGGGGAGTTGTGGCGGGGAAGCGCGTTAGGTGTAGTGAGCCAGAGCGGGGATCCGTGGGAGAGGCGTGTGGAGGGGAAGGGACTTGGGGTATACTTGGGGCTGGTAGCCATGAGCTGCTTCGTTGACTTCCTTTTAATCGCAGGCTGGTTGATTCCTCGCCTCACCTTTACTCCATGGCTTCAGTTCTCTCTGGCTAGTATTGTGGGACTAAGGAAATGATCGCAGAGTTTTGGGTCTCCAGGTTGGCAGAGTCCCCTGCCAGGTTTAGGGGTACACGGGACCTTTGGAGGTTTGGAGTGACCGGACCTTCAAGTATTATTCTTAAATAACCTGTACAAGTGATGCATCCAACCAAGTAAAAGTGTTACTCTTCTCATTATAGTTTTTAGGTGTTCATAAAAATTGGACGAATCATCAGGAAAACCGTTTTTGAACTCTGGTGAAATTCTAAAGATTTTTAATGTCACTTGATGTATTAGGACTTTTTTTTTTTAAAGAATAAAATCAGAGATTGGGAGATACCACCTCTGTGCTCTTCTGCCCTTAGAACACTTTGAATAACACAGAATTAAAAGGTAAAACAGTATTTTCTCACTCAAGTATTTTCAGAGAAGTCTGATTGTGATTTCATACATAGTCCATATGGTACTTTACAAAGGAATATCTTTAAAAGGGAAACACCACTTTTCTCTGCCCTCTCTCTCCCAGTACACTCAATTGGTATCTGTTTTATCAGTAAAGTAGTTTTACTTTCTTTTGGAAGTTCAGGGTATATTTAGAAAACCAAATAAAATATACAGCCAGTGCCAGGGCACTATTTTGGGAGCTAGAAAGGTGGTTTTTGAAGTTTGGTTTCCTTTTAAGGGCTGTCTGAATATAGTTGTATTCAGTAAAATAGTTTGTGAGAGCAGATCATTAATCATTTCGATTAAAAGATCACTAACTTTTATCTTGATTTTGAGATAGAATCTATCTAAGGTTCTAGTTTTTAATGAGAAAAACTTTTGGAAACGCTTGAAGAAATTTTAGCTGCTAAGTAGAGCTTGAATTTATTAAAATAAGTTTTAGAATTTTTAAAAATATAAATTAATGCCCAGTTTGATTTTTTTTAAGTTAACATAATACAAATGTGTACTGATCTGAATCATTTAAAAAAAAAATCTTACGGGCAGCCAATATAATGGTAAAGAGCACTGGGCAGCCACTAAATCAGTTGCTGCTGCCTCAGTATAAAAATTAAGAATTGGAGTAGATAAAATTCAGTTAGTCATAAGTTRAAAAGTTTCTCATCTTTTGATGGACTTTTCTATGACCTCTGTGAAAGAGAATTGAAAATGGCCTCTTCGTGCTAGCTGCTGTACTAGAAATTTAAAAACTTTTTAAGGCAAATAGCATTATCTCCATTTTATTGATGAATGACTAGAATTATTGGAAAAGTTGCCCAGCTTCTATAGTTAGCAGGTTTCAGAGTTGAGATTCAAATTTAAAGTCTTGACTTTAAAGTGCATGCATGCTATTTTCAGAAGTTGCATTGCTGCCTGTACATAAACCTTTAGGTTTTTTTTTTTTTTTTTTTTAAGTTGTTTAGTTGTCAATGGATTTTTATTTATTTATATGTGGTACTGAGAATCGAGACCAGTGCCTCACATGTGGTAGGCAAGTGCTCTAGCACTGAGCCACAACCCCAGCCCAAACCTTTAGATTTTTGTCATATTTTGTTCACTGAAATTTAGTTCCAAGTGTACTTTAGAAGTATGTTTTTAATATAAGAATGGCGGGCGTAATTCAAAGGAGATGCCTGTACCAAGACTTAAAAGAGTCTTAACAGGGAATCTGTTCTATCATATTCTAGAGCAGGATATATCTTAATTTGTGAATGACTTCTAGAACTTGTAGGTATTTAGAACTTATTAAATAAATGAATATTGTAGAGTCACAAAAATTTGGGAACTAATAAATGATTCTTTAAGAACTTGCCAGGTATCAAGTGAATTTCTTAATGTTTTAGAAGAATTTCTGATTTAATTTTATCTTTTTAAATTAAGCATAAGTATAAATTCTAATGCCATTTTTTAAAATTGAGAATTGTGGTTTCTTACAGCCCTAGAATGTCATTTGTTGATGTTTCACATCAGAAAATACAAATTCTAGCCAGGCATGSTGTTACACACTTGTAATCCCTGAGACTCTGGAGGTTGAAGCAGGAGGATCCTAAGTTTGAGGCCTTGGTAATTTAGACTCAGTCTCAAAAAAGGGGTGGGGTGCGGATGTAGTAGAGGACCCCTAGGTTCAATCACCAGTATTGTAAAAACAAAACAATAACAATAAAACACAACCAAATTCTATGTAAACATTATTCTGTTTTGTTTTTTGACATAATCACTGTTATCCCTAAATAAAGTTGTGTTATATACTTCATACTTATCTGGAGTCAGCCAGGAAGTTGAAAACATGTAAATAACTGCCTAATCACTATCAGGGACTCTTCCTATGTTTAAGATTCATAATTCTATGATTTGTCATAGTCAGCATCTATGATCAAGTCTTCCATCTCACAATTTGGTATTCTCAGTGTTCTTAACTTTGGTTAAGAGTATGGCTTCAGATTCCAGCTCTGTCACCAGCTGTGAAGGCCTTGGTCAAGTTACTTGGTCAAGTCTCAGTTTACTAATTTATAAGATAGGGAAAACAATAGCCATCTCATAAAGATTTTAGTATTGATTGAGGAAATATACATAAAATGTTTAATATGGTACCAATGAATAGCTGTTAGTATTAAATTGTTTGAAAGTGCTTATTTTTAGGGTATGATATTTTCACATTAAAGATGGGTATTTAATTGAAGATGTGTGAGAACTGATAATTACCCTTCCATTAGTAAATGCTAGTGTTGTCTTGACCATATATAATAGTTACATGTTTTATTTTAGTAGTGATTGTTTAAACAGGAGTAACAGCTGTTATTTGTTCTGAGTTCTACCAGTGGGCTTAATAGGAGCTTTTGGGTCATGTCAAACTAATCATTGAACATGGAAATGCAGGAGAATAAGAAAGTAAAGGAGGAAAAAGAGAAGACTGAGAGAAGGTGCGGACTGTGGCCACTAAACTACTGTGTCTTACAAAAGTTACTTCTGCTGGCCCATGTTGTTTTCTTTGATAATACTTTTTTGTTGTTGTTACTGGCAGAAGTAAATCCTCTTTATAAARTATTTATTACTGCAAATCTTATTGGTATAGTTTAAAGCCTGCATTTGAAATTATTTAAGAATGCTATGTATATACTTTGGCAGAAATATTATTTTCTTGTATAAAACCTTCAGGTAATTTAAGAATTAAAACATGAATACTGTSCATAAAACAAATCATATTAGAAAACTAGATCTGAATAGGTAAATATTTTTAGAAATGACAAATCCTGAATTTTGCTGGGAAATACTGTTTTTTTGTTTTGTTTTTGGTGTTGCTGGGGATTGAACCCAGGGCCTTGTGCATGCAAGGCAAACACTCTACCTATTGAGCTATGTCCCTAGCCTCAGGAAATAGTTTTTTTTTGTTCCAGTGTTTGTTTTTTCCAGTTTGGCCTTATTTGTAGACTAGTGCTGTCCAATAGAAATTTTCATCATGCTAGAAATATTCTATATCTGCACTGTCCTATGTTGTAGTCACCAGTTGTRTGAAATTGARCATTTGAAATATGGCTGGTGACTGAAGTTCAAGTTTTATTTAATTTTAACTAATTTACACTTAAGTAGCCACATGTGGCCAGTTTAGTGATTTTAAGCTAGTGGTGATTTTGCCCTTAGGGATACTTAATACCTGTATTCACAATTAATTGAGACACTGTTTTGGAGTGGATAATGGTTGAATCTGGGTAATTGGTACAGGGAAGTTCTTTATACTGTGCTGTCACTTTTATGTTTGAATTTTTCTC